TTTCTATTGAGAAATAAATAAGTGATATTTACATCACAAAATAAATCATACTGCAAAATTTCAAGATGAATATTATCTAGTAAAATTGTTTTTTCTCTCTATCCTCTTAGAGTTTCCCTTTCAAACTAATTTTGTTTAAAAGTAGACTCATAATAGTAATACATATGTTTTCACAAGCCTCACATCACTATGTTAAGTAGGCTTGATAAATATTGTTATTCATATCTCAATGAAGAACATACCAAATTGCAGAAAATTCAGGATGGCCTCTCTTCAATCCAAAATTTTTATTCATCTCTTCCCATAGATATTTCTCTCTCAAATAAATTTTATTAGAAATTGACTCATAATTGAAGTTAAAAACCTTGAACAATAAAATATTCTGTTAAGAATGGAAATAAAATCATGACTTCCAAGTCATTGAAATAGTTTTCGTTGCAGAAAACAACACTTGCATACACTTCAATAAATAGACCATATCTTTCAAACCACAAGGAGTTTCTTGATGAAACTATTTTTGTTTAAAAGTAAATTCAATTTTTTGACTCACAGTCCAATTTTAGTTCGTAATAAAATCATATGTTTTGTGGGAAAAATCATGAAGCTCAATGAACATTTCCTAGATTTTACAGGGTCTGACACCCTTCATTAATGAGTTCATAACTCTTAATTTCCGTAGGATCTCCTACTGAAATTTTGCCAATAGATCCTACTCTCAAAGACACATAATATCACTGAAGTATGCAATAGAAATAATACATCATTATCTTCTTTATATCACTGCTCTACAATAACTCAGAATACCCATTCTGCAGAATGCCTTTTTCGGTGTTTGAATATTCCAATAATTCTTAACTATGGGTGTATTACTTGACCACAAAGGTCATTAGCTTTCTTATATCTCATTCTCAAACTTGATTTATATTCAGTAAAGGGAAAAAGATAACTAATAACACCAAGTATCAATAGCTGTGATACCAATGAAGGAAATACTAATGCGATCTTGTCGGAGAATATATATTTTTATTTTTCTTCTCTTCACCCATTTTCTTTTCTTTTGGCAAATATCACTTACAAGTAGTCTTATTACAATAATTCTTGCTTCAAAGAAAATAAAACTAATAAATCCAATATTTTAAAAACCTTAATGTCATTAAACCAATTTTATTTAAACAAAGATAATATCCACAATTCTTATGCTTAGGAATATAAAGACGATATAATTAAATATGACAAGAAACCAAAAAAGAGTGCCGGAGATTACCTCAACTTGGCTTATTACACCCTATACTGAGTCACCACCATCCGATGGTGGGGGATCAATGATCAACATTCAATCTCAACTGGTTAAGCAAGTTTAGGCCAAGACGCACCAATAAAACATGAACCCCTGTGATCACAAACTCAAACCCTAGGTGAATTCCCTTAGCAACCTAGTTTAAGAGAGATGGATTCTCTTTTTGCTATACCCTAAAACTCTTAACCATAAATCTATAGTTGAGAGATGGGATAGAGAAGAACCCCATAGCCTATACCCTTAGCCCATTTCTACAGTATGGGAGAGAGATATCAAAGATGAGAGAGTGGGACGTGCCCCCTTTGGGCTTTCAATGAGAGAACGATTTTGGGTAGAGACAATCCGTTTTCTATAGGGTTTGAACAAGATTAGGATTTCTTATGGTTTTCCTTGGCTTGCCCCTTCTTATGAGATTGAATATGAGCCGTTGATCGTGGGTGACTTGTGGGGTGAGAGATTTGAGCCATCCATTCCATAGATGAGCCATCAACATTGTGGAATGTGCTAGAACATTTATCCCAATTTTCTAAACCATTTTCCCATCAATATAAATTAAATAAAATAATTCTAAATATAATATTGTGCATACCAAAATAATGCACAACCCTGCTCACGCTTCCAAAAAATCATTCAAAGCTTTATCAAGTCAACACCTTTCCAAAACACTTAGCAACTTGGCTTACAAGCCAAAATCACTTATCACAAAAATAGAAAGCTTCTAAATGGGTGGGGCGTGCCACCCATAAGAGGATCTCATGGGCCCCACCATCTAGGCCATGGTGGGCCCATGTGCACAATAGGCCCCCATGCAATTTTAAATATTTTTATAACTCAATAAAATAATTTGTGAATTTATTTGAATATTTAAATCAATGTTAAATCAATATATCTGATTTTATAAATTCAAATTTGATAAATAAAATATCTAGAGATCTAAAATCATATATATCATAACACAAGTATAATAATTAAATTCATTAGATGGAAAAATGATCCATATGGTCTAGAAATTAAATCAATCAAACATTAAGACACTCTACCTTCAACTATGGACTGCGGGCCACACTTGCTTTATCAAACCGACCCAGTATTTCTCATGACTCTAGCCCATACAAGAGCTCATTAGTGGGTCACCAGAGTCTATTTGAGGAGCCAAGGGGTTGCAATCCCAGTCTGTAGATTTCAGGTTCTTCCCTAGAGACGGGTCATAGTTACCTAGACCTGATGCGACCACAACTCGTATGGCGCATAGGGGTATCTCTCGCATATGCATACGTTTCACTCTAAAAAGTGTCTTGCTTTCCCAAAACGGTTTATCAATATGCATGTCGTGTGATGGTACATGAATGAGGCTTTGACCCCAATCTCTAAAGGCCACCATCACACACAAGGGTCACACAGTCCCTCGACTCACTCATCCGGACATACTCCGACCCCATCAAGGGATGACCCATTTATCCCTTATCGGTTTATACTCTATGCCTATGTAACATGGGTTTTTCCCAATCGATTGGCTTAGACCATCAAGCACAGTCCGGTATCAGCAAATATCGTTTGCTTAGTATGGTCCACGAGTGACCACACTC